CTTGAATATATCAAAGTGATTCGGAAGTCCCAACTACTTATCTTTTAAATATTGACCCCAATATATCTTGATTCCTCAGATATCAAAGTTTTCGTAGTCTTATTGAGTTCGAGATAATAAGGTTTGACTGTATTTAAAATGAAATTCTCTCAATTATTAAACCATGTTTACTGTACTATTTATATTTCTGTCATCTTTTCTATATTAAGATGATGTATGTCCATGACCTGTAATTTTTTTGTTAATGGAATTTTTCGAAGTACTGAATCATATCAATTTAAAGTTCTTTTTTAAAATATTTGTAGATGCAATTTTTAAAGTACCAGTAGAGATCTCCGAAGTTAAATGTCACCTCTCTCCTTTATTACATGTATATGTATGGCACAAACCGTGGCTTGAGACGATGTTACAAAAGATAGGTCATACTTTCTGTCTTCAGTTCATTTTCTTCAAATGATGAATTACAATGAATTCAGTTAATTTACACTGTGTGGTAGATTCATTAAATCACTAAACAAGTTTTGAAAGACTGAGGTATTTTATAGAACTTCAGGGAATTTTAAGTCTAAATGTATAGTGTTAAAATCTTCTACTGACTAAGAATTAGATCTCAGTTCTTGGAAAGGCGACTAAATTTTGTGAAAGCAACATTTTTGTACTTTTTTCTGGAAAAACAGAAAAAAACCAAGACTTTATGGAATTTTTTTAATTCACATTTTTTGCAATAGTATAGTTATGCAAGTGCTTATTCATACATAAGTCTCTAAGGGTCTGAGAACTTGCATTGGTACACAAATAATGTGTGGAAATTCTAGGAAGGACACCTGCTTTTTATGCATGGTCAAGGTATAAACAATATTTTGTACATAGAATTTTTCTAGAAGACATGAAAACGTGATTTTTTGGGAAAAAAAGAAATCAGCTTTTTTGATTTTTATCATACTTTAAAGTGACTGAGAATTTTTACAGGAAAAGTTTCCCTTTATACAGAATTTCAAAAAAGAACATTTGAAGTCTGTCATAATATAATGTACTGTATGTAGAAAGAAAAAGTACACATAGATTTTTATTTATGAGAATTATTCATTTACTTGTATGAAATTAATAAAATATTTATTTTTTCAAAATTTTATTATATATTTGTTACATGTGTGTATTAGAAAAATAATTTGGCATATTTCTTTTTCATTTACATGTATTTGTTATGAACAGGTTTACTTCCTAGCTTGCTTGCTGGTTTATAGAGTGTCAAGTGTCTAAATGTATAATATTTACATCCACTGAATATTTTGTCCTTTATTTCATAAGAAAACCCATTGTGTTAATCACTGCATGAACTACAATTGGCATGTCGCCTGTACAGATTTCTTGATCAGTGGCTGTTCCATCAATGAAACATTAAAAAACGTTCGCATCTTTAATACAATAATTAATCTTTTTAATCCTACTTTAAATGATTATTTAAACAGATATAAATATACACAATAAAATTTCTTTCTTTGTTTGTTATTACTGGAATTAACAGTTGCAGCTATTGCAGAAAAAATTTACATAACCCGCGTAAGCGGGTTATGTATTTTTTCTGCAACAGCTGCTTCCGTTAATTTCAGTTATAACAAACAAAGAAAGCATTTTATTGTTTAAATAAATCAGTTTTCTTTGAGTATGAAATGGCAATAAATATATTCAAATTTAAACCAAAATAATAAAGAATAAACATCAAGAATTTCTTGAACTTCTTTGTAATCTTTTAACTTGTTAATTCATGGATTCATTGATTCTCTGCTGTGGCCCCACCATACCCCTGGGAGGTCATGATTTGAATGAACTTATGTTAGTAGTAATAACATTGATCTTCTGTTTGGTCCCACTCTAGCCCAAAGGGCCATTATTTGAACAAATCTGAATGTAGTGTATGTATAAAAAAGGCTTTCAATAATAATTTAAATAAATACATGTACCCGTAAATAAAATACCAGTAAGTTAACATTTTCTGGCCCCAAGGTTTTTTTGAGATTTTTGAATGATTCGACTTTGAGACTTTTTTTTATTTCAGTAAAATCCTTAACATGGGATATGTCGATACAATGAAAATATAACAGATTGAACAAATCAACATGATTTTCACTCATTCTGATCCCCCCTTGAAAGCAGACATTGCTTTTTCTTTTGAACAAACTTAAATCCCCTGGCCTTCACCCTAGGATGCATCGTGGCAAATGTTAAAATTGGCTAAGTGAATCTGAAGATGGAAGACAAACTGTCAAAAGTTAACAACAACAACAGCAGAAAATCTTGATCAGAAATGCTCATTTGAGACTGTCTCAATTGAGCTTAAAAATAGAGTATGAAAAAAAAGATGAAAAGATATGAAAATAAAACAATTTTATTGGGAAAAATGTTTATGCCAAGTGGCAAATTCACAAACCCCATGCTTCCTTTTGAATATTTCACTTAAATTATATAAATGTACTTACATCAATAAAATTTATTCTGTATATGTAAAGGCTATATATTTGTAGAAGATTTATGCCCCCAAAATCAATATTTGGGAGAAAAAGTTTTTGCCCAGTTGCCTTTTTTCCAGTTGACCCTGGAGTTTGATTTACATTTGAAAAACTTTAATTGGAGGCATTTAAGTGTTTGACTTTACAAACACATCTTGTTTTCTGTTGAAAACAAAACCTCTTAAACAATTTTTTTACTGAAAGGACACGAGTTATCTTGTCCTTTTTCAGTATCATTGAAGATGACCATTACATAAGACTTCAATTAGTGATCATCACAGATTACTACATGTACTGCATATATACAGTTCAAGCTACAAAGTCATTCGGGAAAAAAAATATTGATACAAAATATTTTCAATTGAATGTATTATTCCTATCTGTTTTTGTTGTCAGCTTCTCTCTTTCACTACTTCTTCCTGAAATATCATAATGCATTTACATGTATTTTACTTATTTCAGGTTAGGTCTTTGAAATTACTTTAACAAATTTATAGTAAATGATGTTATCAGTATTCAAAATTAATTTATACCGAAGTCAAACTTTATTGCATACAGTACTTGTCATACACACCACTGAACAAAACATTTACGTACATTAATTTGTGATCAAATCTTTTGTTTTGAAAGCCCATTAATAGCAATGTTTCTTACCAAATTGGATATTAATTTACATGTTATGGCTATCATTTAATCTGCTAGCCATGTGTTTCTGATCTGCTGTACTCCATAGAAGAAATATTGGCCAGAAAAGATGCAGGTGTATCTTTTTGTCAACAACAGATGTTTGTAAAACACTTATGCCCCCTCCCCCGAATAATTGGAATTTTTACAAGTTCAAGGGGCATAACTCTGTCTAAAATGGTCTGATCATACCCAAAACATACCTTGACCTAGATATTCTTATGATAAATCTGCATACCAAATTACAGTTCAATACATGTATGTGCAACCTCTGCAAAGAAAATGAACAGAAACTGATGGTGGACCCGACCAACAGACAACAGCAAAGCAATATGCCCTCCCTTCTTCACAGAAGGGCATAAAAACATACCAGTTAACAATGAATGTCATACCTTAGAGGGCTCCTTTGTGTAACAGAGGAACATTGACCATAAGAAAGAAGCACAGCCCACCACTTTTGGTCTGTATTTGTATGGAACAAGTGAGTAGTTTGCAGACTGAACAAATGGCCAAAACATGAGATTTGTCTAAAAATATCACAGAAGAAAGAATCATGAAAACAACAATTGTTCATCAGATTATTTGTTTTGTCTCCCATTTCATTTATTGATATTAATTACTCTTTCCAATGTCAAACCGGAAAAAATTCAGGTAGGAGGGGCTCCTTTGTGTGAAAATTAGCAGGAGGTAATAAAATTCAAAATAAACTTCAGAGTACACACACTCAAACTTGTACATTTTTTTCAAATCTTATAGAATTTCTTGCACAATAAATACTAATTAGATTAATTTTTTTCATTTGATTACTTTCAATATGAAGCCAGGAAAATAAAACATTAAGAACTGTCGTTTTTTCTTCCATTTTTTTTTTTACATTTATGACCATGATAATTAAATATTTAATAATGTCAACGTTTATAGGTATATTCACACACATTTCTGGTGAAATTAGTCAGCTTGATTTAGTTGAAAAGAAAAAATTATTAACTTAAATTTTAGTACTTAAGAGCAATTTTTAACACTTAACATAATTATAATTAAACTTATATGTTAAAAAGAATTTGGATATATAATTATTTCTATTTAATTATTGATCAGTACATAAAATAATTAAAAGGGGAAAATATTGTTACATTATTTAATTTTACCTAAGTTTATCCTTGACTTAATCAAAAAATAAAAATTACTTGAAACAACCAATGAATAAAATCTCAGCATGCTACCTTGGGTGAAAGTTCATATTCATGATATTGTCAGTGTTAAATAATTTATTGGTCTAGAATATACGACATGAACATTATACAAAGATTCTTTAATTTATCACTTAATTGTGAATGTGTTTGATATCTGTCTGATCCTGTAAGTTTAAAAAATGCTCAATATACCAGTGGGAAGAAGAAAATATCGTTTCATGGGTGAAAACAGAGGAAATTCAGATTAAAAGACGATTGTTGATTTCTACATATCTTTACAGATTTATTGATTAGTTTTATTTATATTATGTTGTCTGGGGGAATTATGGCTTGTATTAACGCTGAAATATTTGGTCTTTACCTTCCCAAAAAATAAATCTGCAATAAAAAATGGAGGGAATAGGGTACTAGTGATGTAAAACTGAGGTCCGCTTGACTGGCAATACACTGCTTTACATACGTTGAAGTCACTGAGGTATTGAATGGCAATACTCAATGAGAAAAGTTTAAAAATGTTAACAATTTTTATAGTTTTCATTAAAAAAAAAAAAGCACCTTGTAAGTGACTGGAAATTTCTTGAACCACTCCTCTTTAAATTGTTGGAATGATTTTCTTTCAAGCATACAAGTTGCTGAAACAATTCAAATAGGATATCACATAAATTCTTGATTTAACTTTAGATATTTTAAATCTGAGAATGATACAATGTTTTTAAAAGTTCTTCCATCAATTTACATCCTCGATCAAAAGTATAAACAACAACATTATGTACCGTAATAAAAGGTGTAATGTATTAAGTTACAATAGACTATAAATATATCCTTGGATTTAATAGCAGAAAAAATCTTAAAATAAATGCAGTCTTGCATGTGTATGATTTGACTTACAAAAATAAAATGTAGAATTAATGGCAAAGGGGGCAAAAACAACTTGGCCCGTGATCATTTTCTTCACCACGTTTTTGATTGCTTTTCCTGGAAACATTTGCTCTGCTATGAATAACCAGGTGTAAACGATAGGGGCTACAACAAAAGTTCCGACAGTCACCATCCTGACAGACTTCTGGTAATCCATCTGCTCCTTCTTACTGATGAATTTCTGTTCCACTAAATCTGATATAGTCCACAGGGTGGCATAGACTGCCATAGTTTGTACCAGAGTCATTTTGAAGAGGGAAAAACTGCTACTTGTTGAAGTGCTTAAGTGACCTACAGCATGAAATGTCAGAAAATATTCAAATATCTTTTTCTTCCAAAGACCATAGCATTTGAACCAATTTTCCCACATGCTCTAGCTTTTTGATTCTGTAATATATATTTTTTTTATCGGACCAGTGATATTTTTTAACAAGAGGTTAAGGGGCCACATCACTCACCTGAGCAACTGGCTAGGTAAAAGCAAAAATCAATTCAGTATTGAAAAGTTTAATTAAATATAAAAATTTCAGGGGAGGGGGAAGCCGGGGTGGTATTTGAACAAACTTAAACCAGTACATTACCTTTTATTTTATGCTTTTATATCCCATGATCAATCATCGCTTTGTTGTTCTTGTGAAGAATTTTAATGACTTTTCCTATGTATTCCTACCTAAAACCTTGATCACCCATTATAACCCCAATCAATCCCTGGAGGTCATGATTTGAACAAACTTAAAGAAGATTTTTCCTATATATTCCTATATATGCAAAACTTTGATACTCCACAGTGGCCCCATCCTACCCCTCGGGGTCATGATTTGAACAAACTTGAATCTTCACTACCAGAGGATACTTCATGCAATCAACATGATCAATCGAGAGTTTCATCTTTCCTGGCCCAGCTAGTGGTTCTTGAGAAGATTTTTAAAAGATGGGCGCATTAATTTTTCACTATTTCATAATTATCTCCCCTTGGAAGAGGGCGTGGCCCTTCATTTGAACAAAATTGAATCCTCTTCACTTAAGGATGCTTTGTGTCAAGTTTGGTTGAAATTGGCCCAGTAAGTGCATGGTTCTTGAGAAAATGAAAATTAATGTGAAATAAATTTTATATATAGGCCTAGTTACAACGGCACTGGCAATGATGAAAGACAATGGACAAATTTTGATCAGAAAAGCTCACTTGAGCCAACGGCTCAGGTGAGCTAGAAATATTACAGAAACTAGTGATTTCATACACTGTATATTTTGTTTATTATAGCTCTTCAATGAAAACATGCATAATAAAACATACAGGCCTGGTAGGTTGTGTCTGTGGAAAAAGTAAATGACAACATGATAATTAAAGTATACATAAAATATTATTACTATCTATTAACATGATTTCATATGTTCAATTGCTTTTCTCACCTCAAATATTGTCCATCTTAGCTATAAAGCATCATAGGCCTACATTGTGGATGCTGCACAGAGTTGTCGTTCGTGTCATTCGCATAGTGAAAAGATAGACAACTCTTACTAAAGCAAGGTGTTTACGCAAATAAATCAAATTGAAAGTTTTTTTTTATTGTGACTTTCAAACTGAAATATTTCTCTTTTTTTCTAAGCCTCTACATTGAGTAAATACATTGCTTTCTATGAAAAAAAAAGATTTAAGGTATTGCATTCGTCCCCATGGGCTACTCATGCTTATTATAGTGCTTTAATGATGGAACATTCATTACATTGTATTGTTATTTATTCTTTAAAGTTATTTAAAATAGGACCCCACTGGTACCTTGATCTAGTCGTCTTGAATTTTATTTCTTAAAATATTATTACTTTAATTATTTATCTATAAAATCTTGATTATCAACTTTCGTATTTATAAGATCATGTTTATTAACTTTGTGTATTTGTTTTATGTATGATGACACGATACCAAATAAATACTACTACTACTACTACTACACAGTTGATCGACAGAGAAGTAATTGATACAATACTAGTAATTTGAAATTCGCGCAGAGTGAAAGTGTATATACACCTGTATACGTTAAGTATCTAGAATTTAAAACAGAAAAAAAACTTTTGAATTGAAAAATATGTTTTCATAATGCATTGTTACAAATTTTCAAAGTGCGTTAAATTTGGGACCAAATCAACGCACTTTGAAAAAAATAAAATTTCTTTTCAAAGTGCGTTAATATCGACCATATTAACGCACTTTGAAAAAATATGTATGGCTTGGTTAATATTCTTGCAAATCTTGGGTATGATAAATAATTGAACCTGTTTGATAACTCTTTGGTGATGAGGTCACTTCAGGATGTGAAAGTAATCGATTTTGATTTTTCCATACTTTGAAAATTCTATCACTCTTAAACGTATTACTTAAGTTTTTCAGTTTGAATGCATTTTATATGTAAACTAAAATTTATTGAAAGTATTCAACGTCATACCATTTATGCAGATACATATATTTGGGTGTAGCAATAGCATCTGTACCGGGAGGGGGTGGGTTCATAGGTACTCAAATGTCTTGCAAAGATATATAGGCATTGAAAATCGGGGCTTGCCTTTGAGGGGGGTGTCCACTTTCAATTTGCTACCGACGACTATGTTCAATGTATATAAAAAAAATAGTTGGGCTGGGAGACCGTCCACCCGCCTTCGCCTTGTTCCCATTGAGGTTAAATGAATACATGTACATTAAAATGTTTTTCGAAAGATATAATTAATAAACGTTATATGTACCAAGGAAAAAATGTTTATGTACACTCCTAACGCACTTTGAAATATTTTTTTTTTCAAAATGCGTTGAGTGTGTCCCAAATTTAACGCACTTTTTTCAAAGTGCGTTGATTTTGTCCCAGTTTTAAAGCACTTTGAATATTTTTTTCAGCGTACGTAATTTTTTCAAAGTGCGTTGCCACAATGCATTCGTGCGTTGATTTTGTCCCAATTTTAAAGCACTTTGAAATTTTTTTTTTCAAAGTGCGTAATTTTTTCAAAGTGCGTTGCCACAATGCATTCATATTCTGCAGATATAAAATATTTTTTCGTAATTACGAGATATATATTTCCTAGTACATGCAATTAAATGTAAGTTACGATTTTTTTTTCTTTTTGTAATTATGAGAAATTAACGTGAAGCTTATCTTTTTACAGTGTACCTATAAACTTTTTTTTTTTATTTTTTATTTTCCACATTTTTCTCGATCGACCATCTCTCATCAGACCCATAGAACATGGTAGAAGACTATTTTTTCCGAGTATAACATGTTGCTGTTAATTTTCCTCTAAATGCTGAAGCCCCCTCCCCTTTTTTTTCAGCCACGTAGCATCGGTTTTGAAAGGGGGGCAGCCAGAGAAAAAAAAATTGCTTACTTGAAAAAATTGACAAAAAAAAGGAAATTGCCCATACTCGAAAATCCTATTTCGTGGGGGGGGGGGGGGCTTTTTTTTCAAAGCCAACTTCTTTCAGTACCAATTCTTTTTGGTATTCAACACTACATTTTCTACATTTTCCTGATATCAATTTCCTGTAGTATAAAGTGGGGGTGGGGGTGGGGTGGCGACCAGCCTTTCACTGAATATTTCCAATAGTAAAAGTAATGTTGGGGAAAGGGGGGGGGAGTAAAAGTAATGTTGGGGGCCCCCCCCCCCCCCCCCCCCCCCCCCCCCCCCGCCAACTTCTTGCTATGTGCCTGTTTTTAATTGCTGTTAGGTCGAGATTTCGATAGTTAATGATTTTTTTGACTTGTTAGATTTTTTTAGCTTGTCAAGATTTTTTTTTTATGGAGGGGTGGGAGGGGGTTGGCTTTCCCACTTTTGAAACCGTTGCGACAGCTCTGCTCATTTCTGCTTCACCTCTTTCAAGAAAATATGTAGCTGCAATAATGTAGCTCTCCCCCTTTTTTTTTTATGGATGCCCCCCCCCCCCCCAAGGAGAGGTTGGCTTTCCTCAAGGAGAGGACTACATTATTGCAGCTAGAAAATATGCAGTGAAACTGAAGAATACTTGATATAACATTAATTGAATTACCTATCTAAACATAAAAGAATGTAAAGTAAATTTATGACTCTTCTTTTTTTATTTTATTGACAATCAAGTAGGATTATACATTACCATACATAAACCTTTAAAAAATATATCTAACAATTATAAAACAATCCACAGATGAAAATATTCACATCTCTTTGTGTTGTACATTTGTAAGAAGGTGATTATTAATGGTAACAAATATTTTGGTTCCTGTGATTGAAAATATTCAGTTTTCTAAATAATACTACAAATATACCCTGAGTATCGAGTTCAACCCTGATTCACATGATATTGATAAATTAATTGTGCCTCACATAGTCATTACAATGAAACACATGTATTAGTTTTTCTTCATTTTTCATTTATTAAAGCATTTTTTCAGTTCAAAGTATTCAAAATGTTATCATATTTTACCACATATTAATGAAATAAATAAATCTGGACCCCCCCCCCCAAATCTTAAACTCATTAGGGTGATATTCTTTATATGGAATACTCTTGCTCTTCCATCTGTACTTTGCAATTAATAGGAGTATATTGTAAAATTTTAAAATATATTTAGTGTAGGAGACAATTTTATGACTTCTTGAATCTACAACACAAATAAAATGTAAATTCCCATTACTACTATAGATTACTTGTTTAGGACCTTTAACCAAAGCTTAAATTCAGAGACAGGCTTAATATCTTCAAAGAAATCTAAGTAAAAAAATATGTAGTTATTTTATAATTGTAATCCACCTATATGTTAATCTTGAAGGTTGTTTGAATAAATAAATGGTTGTATGGAAGAACAAAGAGGTCAAATTGAAAATGAATTGGAAAAATAAACTTATACATGTACATACATAAACTTCCTTCCAGTTTGATTCTTATGGTTCAAAGTGCTAAGTGAACAATGAACCTGGAAGATACATACAAACACTCATAACCGGGATGATCTCTCATAATAAGTTATTCCATAGCAGACTTTAGAATGAACATCTAATGTACTCTGGAAGACTACACAAAAACATGCAGTACTACACACTTATAACAAATTGCCCGGCATGGACAATTTTCTCCATAAAAAGCAGAATTTGTTATATCCATTTAGTTTAAAATATGCTTTTTCATTGTACAAAATGTACATTTTTAAATACAAAACTGGAGTATACAGATATATGTTTACTTCTGAATTAAGAAAAAAAAATCTGATCGAATTCTGAATTAGATGTTGAATCAAAGCCAAAAAAGCAAGCACATAACTGACTGAGACTGGTGCAACAGAATTCAGTGTACATTTTAAAATACACAACTGGAGTATACCAAAATATTGTTTACTTCTGATCAGAGAAAAAATATCTGAATTCTGAATAAGATGTCGAATCAAATGCCCCAAAAAACAAACACATAACTGACTGAGACTGGTGCAACAGAATTCTTTGTAAAAAGGATTTATGTAAATATAAATGTACATGTACAAAGGAAAACGCTTTATTTTATGCATACATTAGGAAGTAACTATCAGTATAATACATGTTGAACATTATTAAGAAAAATCCTAGTCCATACATTTTGATATTCATAATAAAAAAAGCTGTGCTATTACTAGTACTGAATATATTTTGCTTTTCTAATCACAACCTTGCAATCAGATACTCAATACACATACATATCTCCTACAGGTAAGAAGTACATTGCAAAACAATTCAGGTGGAGTGTAGAATAATAGTAGTATTTAATGAATTTAAAAAGCTACTGAAAATGGCAGTATATTTTTATGGAATAAAATGTATGTGAAGCACAAACAATACAGATATTATAATCACACCATGCCATTTGTTCAACAATGGGATACATTTCTAACATTCTTATGGTTCTTAAAAAAGTACATATATCTACTATATAAAAAGAAAATTCTTATAATAATTTATACATGTATAGGTCATTGTAATTAAAAATTTCATAATAAATAAAATATGTATATTACATAATTATAAGAAAAAGCAGAAACCTTATATCACAGAATCAAATTACAATCATTTTCTTTACTACTAAATTAAACATCAATTCTATATCTCTTTAACATCAACTCTCTTTTTGAACAGCTTCCTCCTGAAAAGAAAAAGACAAGGTTCATTGAATTCCAATTACAAAAAGGACTTCCAATAAATGGTTACAAACTTACCTGGAGTAATAGTTTTATATTTTACTTAACCACTGCAATTAAGAAAAAAAATTTGTTTTATTGAAGATAATGAACAGTGATCAATTTCACAAGTCCAGTAAACAAAGTACTGTAAACCAACTTTTATTCGTGTGCAAGAAATATTCACAAATTTTGCAAGATCCTCATTATCGCAAATATTTCTCGCCACGAACCAGTTCTTAAAGTCTATGTGTCAATTCACAAGAGAACCTTAATAGGCTTGATCGCGAAAATTAATCGTTTCAAACTAGTTTATTACAGGTAAATCGCGAAATAAAGTAGTCACGAATAAAAGTTGGTTTACAGTAAATTGTGAACAATGCAAAAACATGGACTTTTGGAAACACCAAAGGCGATGTCATGTGCCTATGAGAAGTAAACTTATTATGTCCACTGGTCACACCTAGTACCTACTAATTAAATCAGTGGGAGACTTAAAAATCATTTGCAGGTGATGTTAGAATGTAAGTAAATAAAAAAGGAAAACTAACAATTGAAAATCTAAAGTCAACCAGTTTATCATGCAGTGTATTTAATAGTTAGCGATTAAGAATACACAAATATAAAACAGTCTACAGATGTGGCAGACTCTGTAATGTGTTACGTCTTTTAAGTTTAGTTTTCCATCTGCTGAAATTTGAAGTCTTCCCTTTGACATGCAATTTATGAGAAGTGAAGTCATGAATGATGCCATTCTTAAAAGGAATTTAGACAGAAAAATAGATCTAGATCACTCACCTTGGAAGGTTCTTTCTCATAACAAAGGAACATGGACCATAGAAAAGAAGCACAACCAATCACTTTAGCCCTGTGTTTGTATGGAACAAGTGAGAAGTTGGCGGCTTGCACAAATGGCCAAAACATGACACCAGTCTATAAAAAAAAATTCATCTAAATATTAATGTTATTCTTAATAAAAATAACAAAATAGAAATTTAGAAACAAATTAGCTTATCAAGGTATATGTATGAACAATTCTAAAATGAGGTGAGGTATTGACAAACAAGTTGATGAAACAGGAATATCAGCAATCTGGTTTAAAGTTATCATTTCCTAAGTTCTATGGTCATACAATGACCTTCTCAGCAAATACAATTTATCACTAAGTCAAATGCTGACTGATGTTTTTTTATGCTAATTGTTAGGCCATTATTTACACATTAAATTCTCAATGGATTTTTCAGTTATTCATAATCATGACAAGGATCACATGACAGGTCTGACCAGTTGGCAGGGAATGCTTACTCCTCCCTGGCACCTGACTCAACCTCTGATGTTTAGAGAGGTCTGTGTTTGCTCTGCTCAAAATTTGTATTGTTTAATGAACATTTGAGCTTCAATACTCATCATCATCTCTATATATTTTAGAAATGTAATGCTCAGTTCATTTCTATATATTGTGTCTCTTATACACATGTAGTGGACACTGGACAGGCATGTTTACTGTAAATCTGGAAATTTGTAGAAATTTTTTTAGCAAATTTGCGAGTTCATTTCATTCACAAAAATATTTTCTTAAAAATAAATTACCATTAAGAAAATGTAAACAAAGCAGTGGTCATTCGCAAAATTTTGAAACATAAAAAGTAATCAACAGCATTTTGATACGAATTCGCAAAATAAAATCGATGTAAAAATTTCCAGATTTATGGTATTCATCAGAGGCCAGAAAAATCAGCTGTAAGAGCACCTGGCCTTAAAGTCCAGAAGGCTCAGGTGTAAATCCTGGTATATCAGTGACCTTGAAAGAAACCTATTTTTTGCAACAAAAATCAAAAACCAATTTATGTATCTTAGGTCATAGGAGGAGTAGCATTTTGAAAGAATTTACAGAAAACAAACCTTTCTGTCTGTATGAGCTCCTAATTTTGAAGTTTATGGTCAATTAAGGCATGTTTACACAAACAGACAAGGCAATTTCTAGATATTCAAACTTATAATATGTAGCAGGGGAAAAATCAAATAAAAACGAATTCAGTTTTTTTCAGATAAATAACAATGAGATATCTCTGTCTTAGAAATTGACTGAAGGTACAATTTTAAAGCACCTTGTAAGTGACTGGAAATTTCTTGAACCATTCCTCTTTAAACTGTTGAAAGGACTTTCTTTCAAGCATACAAGTTGCTGAAATAGTAGATAACAGAATGAATAATACTCTTGGGGAAATATTTTCATGTAGGGGATTTAATAATGATAATAATAATGATTTTTATTTATTATCAATATAACAAAGGGGTTTTATACAACAATGAGGATTTTTCAAAATCTTTATTTACCTACAAGAATATTGCTTTACTACTTACAAAAATAAAATGATGTTATGGCAAATGGAGCAAAGACAACTTGATCAGTTATCATCTTCTTTGCCACAGTTCTGAAAGTTCGCCCAGGAAACATTCGCTCCGCTATGAACATCCAAGAAAACACAAGAGGAGCTACAACAAAAGTTCCGACAGTCACCATCCTGACAGACTTCTGGTAATCCATCTGTTCCTTCTTGCTGATGAATTTCTGCTCCACTGAATCGGATATAGTCCACAGGGTGGCATATGTTGCCATTGTTTGTAGAATAGTCATTTTTCCAAAATGTTTCCTGCATGCAGAACTTCAACCTACGTTGAGTAAAATATATATAGAGGATATTCAATATCTGTAGCTGGATAAGAAATTTGAAGGGCCAGATTATAAGATAGAGCCATACATTTATTTATACAATTATATATATTTATTCAGATATATATACTTATAATACAACTTGCGCTGAAACCTACAATCTTTCACAGGAGTAGGCAGTTTTATCCACAAAGCAACGTAAACAACAACCACTGAGCTTCAAGAGTGTAGCTAATCTCACCGAGATGTGGAGGGGACTAAAAATTTTGGTCGAGGGACATCAGACCAAAATTTTTAGTCCCTACGACATCTTGCTGAGATTAGAGTGTAGCGAGCGAAGCAAGTGACCTGTAAAAATTGCCATCTCCTGTGAACCTTTGTTGTTCTATTCTAAGTGTACAAGGTTTACTTTTGGAGTCCCCAGGGAGGACTGAACTTCTGAAATAAGGATTATTAGAAAAAATGCAAAGTACCAAAACCAATCAAATGTATAACTCTCTAAACATTTTGTTCATTTAAAAACAATTGTTTTCTTAAAATATTGTAACAAGAGAAAGAAAAAAATGAATAACTCTCTAAACTTTTTGTTGCTGTTATTGATTTTAAATTTAATATAAAACAATTGATATTTTTTTTTCTAAAGTATAATATTGTCAAAACAGGAGAAACGAAACAAAAACTTGTTTTGTTAAGTTGTTTGGCAATGAGAATTTCAATGGAATAATTATATATTAAAACTTAATATCGATACTTTATGTTCTTTTTGACTCTAGTTAGAAAAATAAGGACCGTGAAACATGTAAAATTATGATTGACACTTACTAAAATCCGACGCCTCGAATTTCCAAGAAAAATGAATGAGATTTGCTGCTTATTGATTTGAAATTTAATATTATCTATTTTGACTCATCTTACACAGCAAAAATACGTTTACACTATAATGAAACATATTACTAACACAATCACTTGATTTTAAATAATGTTTTATGGTGTACCTTTTCAAACACACACTTCTGTCAAAGCTGTGATGTTTGGTCTTCTTGTTGAAACTATAGATAGTTTTCGATTGACCAAGAGTTACTTCCCGTTGGCCGCCATACTGGAGGTCCAAATGCTCATATTCCTTCATTGTTCAACCAATTTAAAATTTTTATATTTGCTATTTTGAATGAGAAATCATTAAAGTATATAAATTTTTGGAACTTTATTTAAAAAAAATTATTTGATAAAGATTTTCCACCAAATATTTTGGTTAAGTTGTTACTGTGTATATGGCGGCCAACGGGACGTATATGAGAATTTGCAATTTTTGATGAAAATAATAATAATATATTTTGCTAAACTGAATATCACATAAGGATATACAAAATTAACATCTTAATATAAACACAAGATGTAAAAGTACAACACATACATATAAAAACATGAAGAAGTATATCTTTTATGCACTCAAACATTGGGGGAAAAATCCATTTTAATTATTTAGTCTGTTAAAATACTCAGCGAGATACACAGATTTAAAAATATCCACTGATCTAGAATTTCGAACATTTTGTGACAGTTTGTTCCATAAAAATGCAGATGTCTGATGAATATCTAAATGAACGTTTGTAATTTTCTGTTTTGGTGAAACATGTAAAATTATTATTGACAGTTTATTGAAACACATTCAAATAATCTGGCATTTGATTGTTTAAAACCTTAAATAGAAAAATAACCTGTCTAAACATAATATAATCCTTGATTGGCATCCAGTTTAAACAGGAAAATAAAAACAAAAGAGTTCCTAGCTGCCCTCTTTTGAAGATAACACATTTGATTTTTTACATTGTGTGGAACAGTAAGTAAAAATGAAATACAATATTATTAAAAACCTTAATTAAAGCATTTGATGGAATAAAATGACTCACTTTCTTAAGCAGAGCAAGTTTTCTTAAAATTTTCTTTGAAATAAAGTCAACATGAACATCCTAAGATAAGGTATTATCAATATATACACCAAGTAATTTGGCCTGCTTCACATTCATTTGAACATCATTTAAAAGTTGAAATTTTTAATTCAATAACAATGGGGAGATTTATACTGAGCTTGTTACTGTTTTTATTCTCTTATTTGGTTCATTTTGCGTTTCAGGTTAAGTTTTTTGGAGCAGTTTTCTTTTTAAGTACTTCTATGTCCTATATTGAAAAGCAAAATGCCATCAAGCCCCCAAATCCAGAAGAAGTTCCAAGCCTCCAAATTGAGGATGGATCTATGAACATGAATGACAGGTTTTTAGATTGAGATCTAAAGATAAAGAATTATTTTTTAATGCATTTTGAATGATGAATCACTTTGTATGTCCTATTAAAGTACATGTACAACACAATCACTTGATTTTAAATAAAATGTTTTACGGTGTGACCGTTGGGGCGAGTGCAGTTGTATCAAACACACACTTGAAACATTGATCAGCCACTTCAAACATCAAGTCGCACTAGACATCTCAACTAGCTGTGACGTCAGACGACGTCACTGAGCTCGTCAGAAAGCGCCTTGTTGAAACTATAGACCTAGTGCAATTTTTGATGAAAGTCATTGTAGAGTATTTTCTTGTAAGATTTCTACAAACCAAAAGCCATTTATGTTTTATGTTATTTATTTATTCGCCATTATCGCATGGAATCCTGGTAGCAAAGGGATATATATCAGATGCTGATTTTAATTACAATTTCATGAAAAAGAACTAGGTTTTTATATTCACACAAAAAATTGCATAAATATTTACATGGGATGTACACTTTTTGTTGGTTAATTGTGTATGTACATGCAGATTTCATCTACAAACCAAAAGCTGTTTATGTTTTATGTTAATTTTTTTTCTGTTCTTACACCTTAGTCTAATTCTTGCTGCGCTCGCTATAATTGCTTCTCTATGTACATGCATACAGTAACACACTCTTATAACAAAGTGTCATGGTCATACGATTTGGTTTCGTTACAAGCATTTTTTGTAATTTCTGTTAAGTTTACAATGTATTAAATAAATTCACAGACAAGAAATCACTTTGTTGTTAGTGTTTACAAATAATTTACAAATAATTCAATTCTTTATTTTGATTTAGCATGAAAAATGACACAAACAGTACAGATATCTTTAATGTATCAACAACCATCTCCACGTCTACACTCCCCACTACCAAGCGTGTACCGGTGGACCTCCCCAAAAAAGGATCGGCGGAGGAGGAGCACCACAGCAGCTTCACCATCTTCTTCATCCTCCTCCTCGTCGGTATGGAATAATCTTAAACTTGTATCCATCTGTTATGTGATGTAGATGTAGTATGTATTCATTTAAAATAAATGTACAAATGAATGAACTATTATTTGGTATCTGTTAAATATAAAATTTGACTTAAGCCATTTTTATATGCTGGAAATTTTGTAATATCAGTTAGAACATTATTGAGTTTTTTTTTAAATTGACAACATTGACTAAAATATTTAGTTGTCAATTATTTCATTGGACATATCTCAATGTAGAACCTATGACTTGATCGACTTTTAAACACAGATCTTTATATATAAATTACATGTATATGATTTCATGATGATTTTGTTTCTATTGTAATCATATGTTTTGATATCTTTTGATTTCAGCCTTATCAATTTTGACAACTCATATGCTCATTCAAACCAGATTTCATTATTTGCCAGAGAGTATAGCAGACATATTATTAGGTAAGTCTTTGTATTTACGCTGCACACAAAACAAAAACAGTGAGTGTAATATACATTTAAATAGATATTAATTGTACTGCATTTCTGACAGAAAGACAAAAAAATGTTATAAATTTATTTGGTAAATGAGAACTTGGATTTAATTTTCTTACATGCTTATGCACATTTAACCTTCTTGAATGTATGGAAGGTATGATTTGAATTTTTAAAACTGGTTGTTTTCTAGGTGCATTTGCAGGATTGTTATTAAAACTGACACATTCAGGAAATGGACAGGTAAACAAATAACACACTCTGGTGGTGCCTTATAACAAATACCTGTATAGATGTGAACAGTAGAACTGGTTTTATCTGGAATTGACCCCTGGTTTCATAGAAATTGGCTGAAGTACTTCACAAACAGGATTTGACAATATTTTAAACAATTAAATTTACACAGAACTAAAATTATCAACCCTAAGTTAACGTAATTGGCATGAAATCCAAATTCACCATAGACAAGTTTTAGTGTTCAATTAAATCTTTTTTGTCATTGAAATCAGAAATTTGTTATTTTTATTTTGAATTCTGATATGTAAATAGTGCAAGATATTGCTATCTTAATTTAAAAGGTTTAAATTAAGACCATTTCCATGTTCATGCTATATCTGATATAGTTAATGTAGTAGACTGTAGGATCTTAAAATCAAAGAGTAACATATATATCTATCACACAAAGAGTTTTTAAAGAGCATCTTTTTTTCCATTTCAGAATGCTGAAGCCTTTAATCCAACAGTTTTCTTCATAGTATTACTGCCACCTATTATTTTTGAATCTGGATACAATTTACATAAGGTAAGTAGATGTACATGTAGTATGGGAAGGAAAGCCAATTCAGAAATTTATTTGATGTTTCATCTTCTTGCACATTAGATTGCACTTCATTTACATCAGTGGGAAATAGAAGAAACTTTGTGAATGATTTCCCACTTGCATTCACTTATACCAGAATTTAAACAGACTTTATCAATACTTATAAGGATTGAGGAACTTGACTTTTTCAATATATTCCTCTTCTGTAAAATATGTAGAATGTACATGCTTAGTACACATACCAAAATTTTTTCACCATGAGTTAATACAATCTGTATGCTTTGCAGGGTAACTTTTTCCAGAATATAGGTTCTATATTGATTTTTGCCATTCTTGGGACAGTTGTGTCAGCTCTAGTGGTGGGAGGTGGGATTTATTTACTTGGGCAGGTTTGTAGAGGATTTTTATATACACCTGTACTTGAAATGCAAGTAAAGGATCTCACTGAGCTTGTTAATAATTTTCTGTTAAAACATATATGATATATTCACAAAATTCCTCTTTTAATTTATTTCCATTTAATAGTAAATCGTATGACCAGGTATCAAGGGAAAATTGATTCAAGCAGAGTTTTTTATATGGTTAAACAAAAATCTTGTCCACTTTTTGGAGAAAAAATTCACATGTATGATACATTTGCATTCCTTCATATCCATTTTAAACTCTATATTTCTTTTATCTGCTCTAGGCCCAAGTGGTGTACAAGCTTAGCTGGATAGAATCCTTTGCCTTCGGGTCCTTGATCTCCGCCGTGGACCCGGTGGCCACTCTAGCCATTTTTCATGCTCTGGACGTGGATCCAGTACTTTACATGTTGGTGTTTGGAGAGAGTGTCCTGAATGATGCAGTGTCCATTGTACTTACTACGTATGTATTAAAAGTGTTCTGAATTTATATTCATGTAGATGAAGGCTGTATTCTATTTATAGGAGAGGATTTTAACAGGAAGTTGATATTGTTGTGAATTTATATTCACATATTGATATCCATGTATAAACATACATTTTCTAAAATAGAGTTGCATAAGTACATAGTATGTTGCATGTGGTGTTTTATAATTCTAACACACTCAGCAAAACCTTAAGAGATTTAATAATTTTATCAATGAAATACAGGCTATCAAGATTACCTGAAATGAGAACTTTAGATTATCATGATTGATACATGTACTTTTCATAATTTTACAAAGAAACTTAATTATTGCTCCAATTAAAAATAAACAAAAAAAAAAATTTAAATATACTTTTATTAGTACTAAACCTGTGCTCTTTTTCTTGCATGTCCTTTCAGTACTGTGTTAGAGTATGCTGATCCCTCAGTACAGATCACTAACAAAGCTGAGGCTGTTTTCTCCGCAGCCGGCAGATTTCTTGTCATGTTCTTTGGTTCATCAGCTATAGGAGTTGTGTGTGGCTTAATCAGTGCATTAGTATCCTTTATCCATGTAATATAGTTTTATCCATAAAATATAGTTTGTAGTTTTAACAGACAAAGGAAGAGCAGTGAGAAGAGCTTATTCAAGGTAAAATGTCCATCATTTAGGACACATGGGAGCTAGATTACTCATTAAGTTGCATCAAGATCTAGATTGTATAATTCTTTTTACTTTGTACATTTACAGTACATGTAAATTGTGTAAATTGTGTTCACAGACAACAACTGTGTTTTTAAAAGGTATAATTTATAAAATGTGTCCTTCAACAGTTAGCTATTTTCCTTATTATGTCCAGCTATTAAAATACATAGACTTGAGGAAAACTCCCTCCCTGGAGTTTGGACTCATGTTAACATTCTCATACTTGCCATATGCTTTAGCTGAAGGAATTCATTTATCTGGTAAGATAAAACAACATGCAGTTACTCACTTTTACATCATATTACCAGGAACATGTACCATTCCTTAAATCATATCATTTTGTTGTTCTGTTATTTACTGTTAAGGAAAATATTTCTTTTGTTTTCAAATATATGTTTTTAATCAAATATATATCAAAGTAATGTTTGTGTGAAGTTTTTGCATCAAAATACTAGTATTTGGATATTACTCATTTTTTTTCCAGGTATAATGGCCATATTGTTCTGTGGCATTGTGATGTCTCATTACACTCATCCAAACTTGTCCCCCGTGACACAAATCACGACCCAGCAGACATTCAGAACTATAGCCTTCATTGCTGGTAAGAAAGCACTGCAAACAGACTCACTTTCATGTTCAGTGTATCAGTAAAAGACATTTATAATGAAGCCCTGGGGATGGACAGTTTTGCTTTGTTATAAGTGTAATTAGTTTTATCCTTTTTAAAAGTTAACAATACATTTTAAAATCAGGGGAATGAAAATCACTTCACTGTAAGCATTGACTCATTGATTGTAAGCATGTTTGCTATAAGTGTGTTTTACCGCAGTCATAGATCTTAGCAAAAAGAAACATTTCAAGAGTTTATTAAATGTCATTAACATGTACAGTGTACCTGATTTTTGATTAAGTTTTCTAAATTGTTCACAGCTATATACATAGATTGCAACTCCTGTTTAAAATAGCGATCTGATGAATACTGTGTTCGCTTTTTTACATTTTATATACATGTATGTACAAGTGTATATATGTATTATTGCATATGTTTTATGATCTTTTCCAGAAACCTGTGTGTTTGCCTATCTTGGCCTAGCCCTTTTTAGTTTTAAATTGACAGTTAAACCTGCATTTGTGATATGGAGCATAGTAAGTAATTGTATCATAATAAAATGGGTTAAAAACTTTAAAGCTTTGATCTGTTATTTGAAAATTCTATTAGCCTATACCGAATTCATCTATTTATAATTTCAGTTTGAACTTTAATGTGCCCTAAAAAATTGAATGGTCTTAAAAAGTTATGATATTGGCTTTTACAATAGAAAACCTTTATTTATTGATAGTCATTAATTTGGTGCATTTTTAAGTTTAATGTGGAAAAGCCTCAAAATAACTCATTTCTGTGATTATTTTTCTTTAGAAAATAGTGTCTGCCACCGTCGCCCACTTTAATTTTTGGATATATTATGTAAACTGTTATGAAAAATCACATATCTCAAAATCTTTCCGGGCGACGGTGGCAGAGTATGATTTCTGAAAGAAAATTCCACTGAAAATTGATGTCTTCTGCAACTTTTTAAGAAAATACGGGAAAATGCACAAGTTAATGACGTCACAATTAGCATTAAGGAGGTCATATGAGAAAAACGATTTATATATTCTTGCTGCAGGGAATTTCTATGATTAAGAAAGAATGAATTTTGTTTTCTTATATCACTTTCATATTTTAGAAAATATCGGGCTTACTTTGTATTAAAACTGTACCTTCTTCTTTCCTTGTTTTGAATGTCATGAATGAATTCTTTGTTGATATAGTCAAATCTCATTTTTAGAACTCAATTATACATAGAAAAACTTTTTTTTTATTGATAGCCAGAAATGAAAAATTTTGAGGTTAAATATACCCAAAGAAAAGGAGTTAAAATTTCCAACTTGGACATAAGAGGGTTGATCCAAATGTTCGTGGAATTTCTTCATATTTCATTTATTTTTCAGTGAAATTGGTTGAAAATTACAAATGAAAATATAGACACTTGATGAATATTTTAAATTAAAAATTATTTTAAATATCTTTGATAGGAACTTTATGGCAGTTGCCATAGAAACGGTTGTTTGGAAATGCGGGGGAGACATTAACGCGTTTATTATCTTAATTCGTGAAATAAGAATTAAACCGCCCTATGTGGTATATAAAAGGAAAATTATGTCATTATTACGATTGCTTGATATTTTTTAAACCTTTGTGTGAGAGTTTTATTGATTTTACTGGATATTTTGTTTATAAGTTGATGATTTATTGCTCATATTTAAGTTGTTAGTTAACGTCAAAATTTGGTCAAGTCACACGTTTTGTAAACTTTTCACATTTTCACTTCGATCTTAAACGCGTATATTATAGACATAAGCTTGGGAAAAATGCATTTAGTTACTGGTTTTCCAGTGGCATAAGAAATTTAAGAAAAATAGAACTTCCACGGACGTTGATAAAAAGTGTGGTTGCTTTTTACAGGCTCTGTTTAAGTACGTATCCCCCTAGACAAATTTAAAGCGTTAAAGGACGTTGTCGGCTGCCGATCTGATCTTGACATTGCTACTGAAATTGGAACATCATATGGAAAGATTGGTAGTATTTTGAAATATGAGTAAAAAATGAAGATAAGTTGGTGCGAGAGGATACCCAGGCTTTTTTTGAAAAAAAATGGAAAAAAAGACAGCATTTATTAGAATTACGTATTATAATTGGACATTTGGGCGAGATGCTTCTATAACGTGACGTGACATATCTAACTTGACGTTATATGGAAGCATGCTCCGGGTTTCCCAACAATCCATTTTTAGAAAGCTCGTGTGACCTTATTGGTAATTGGAAAGTGGTGAAATTTTCCAATATTGTTGCATTATGACTGTATATTATGAATATGCCTGTTGATTGATTTCTTCAAATCACGATAAAATTTTAGAAAGAAATTCCACGAACTTTTGGATCAACCCTCGTATCCATAGTATTCATGGGGTTTGAGATACTGAAGTTAATGGTATTAAATGTTTTGTTTTTTTTTCAGGCTCTGGTACTCATAGGAAGAGCTTGCAATATCTTCCCTCTGTCATTTATCATGAACTACTTCAGGGAACATAAAATCCCCAGAAAGAATCAGTTTATTATGTGGTTCAGTGGTGAGTATCATTTCAGTTGTACTATCAGACAATTTTCATGTACAGTCATTATTTATTATAAATGCATGTGTTAACAGATTTTGTTTAAAAAATACTTTATTCTGTTGAAATCAGTGTTAGCATTCAAACTTCAATGTGTGCCTTTTTGTATAGGAGTAATATTTGATTTTTTCCAGTTATTTGTTAAATTTTTCCAATCAACCTATTGACAGGTTTACGTGGTGCTATAGCCTTTGCCCTCAGTCTACACCTGGAGTTTGAGCAGGAGAAGAGGTACGTCCTAGTCACGGCAACACTCATCATCGTTCTCTTCACCGTTATATTCCTGGGAGGGATGACTCTACCAATGATGAAGGTAATGCAAATAGACAAACCTTATGTCACATATAAGTAAGGATTTTGTAAAGAAAAATATGGAAAGATTTAAAATCTTTTGTTTGTATTAGGGATGTCAACATATTCATCATATATATATACCGACTATGACTAAAATTTCTTTAGTCGGTTATTCGTTAAAAATGTGTTTCATCAAAGTAATTTTGAATTCTGTAGTGTAACATCAAACATGATGTATCATATGCCGAATCAGTCAAACATACATGTATACACAGTCTTTAAATGAAATATATAGTAAAATTCTTCGCAAAAAATGACCAAAAAAATAAAAAACGGATTGGAAAAGAAAATCAAACATGTTTGTTAATGATTGTCTACCTCTTACTATTTTAAATGGAGAGGGCAATTGTTTAGTTTTGTAAATTCAAACTAAGATCTGACGTGATACAACTATTCAGAAAAAGTATTAATTAAAAAACTATTACAAAATTGTAAATACATATAAATATATAGAGTGATTAAAATTCTGATATAAAAATTTCATACAACTATTGATTGTTTGCACAAAATTTCATCATATATATATGGAAGCATCGCTCTGTCTTTGTTTTTATAAAAGACACGCTTCAATTGTTTACCTGTCAAAGATTATGACGGACACGTATATATTGGCTTCAATTATGGCCGTACTCTAAAGTTTTACAAAGAAAGTATAAATAAATTGTTTGATATCCTGCATTTAGAATAAAAGCCAGCTAATATATAAATTTTAAATCCAATACATTGGATACATAGTGTGAACAGTTTTTATTTTACTAAGTACATTTTACAATTCAGAAATTCGTTGTATAATGGTGAGAGGGCCAAAATGTCTGTAAGAGACAAATTTTGAAAGATGATATGAAAAAAAAATAAAATTAAAAATCGACTATCGTTCTAAAAAATAGACAAATCCAAGCTTGGTAAAATTGACATCCCTAGTTTGTATCAATGTTGGACCATATTTAATTTTGTATAACTACAGTTCATGATTGAAGTTATCTTTTTACAATTTGAAGTCTTCAGTTAAGATCATCTAATCAGTTAAATTAAAACACTTCTTTTTTTTACTTTGTTATACAGAATTTCAAGTAATCAATGAGCATAGTTATACAATTGTAATAAATGATTTATGATGAACTTTTGCAGTGCTTAGAAGCAAAAAAGAAAAAGAAGAAGAAATCAGAGAGGGAGGTCTCACTCAGTAAAACAAAGGAAATGGTAAATTATTTTTAAAATTTGCACTTTGATTCCTGAATTTATTTTAATAACAGATTTTTTTCAATGCATTGTATTACTTGTGTACGAGGGCTGTTCAATAAATAATGTCCTCGGTGCTTAGAAAGAAGCAAAAGATGCTTTTCAATGATTTACCCTACCCATAATTTATTATTAATCTCTTTTAATTAAAACACATGTCTGAACATTTTTTATCCAATATATTATCAAATCATTTTTGGGTATCACATTTATACATGCAACATGCTCCAGAAGCAGTTAACAAGTTTCCTTCGAAAATTTTTTTTCAAGTTTGGAAATAGTTTCTTATAGATCTGTTAATATATAATGTGAAAAATGTTAAGTTAGCTGAAAAGTACTCTGCAGGGCATAGCGGGATACATGTACATAAGGAAAAATAACTAATTCTCGCTTTTAATAAAAAATCATGCCAAAAAATAGCTCACAGTTCTAAAGGTGGTTGGTGTCGATCACAAAGAATTGACAGCAACAATACCACTAATATTTAGAAAATTGCATATAAATTTGTAAATGTGCTCATGCATACCTTTGCTCTTGATAAATATATTCGTTTTTGATGAACTTATGGTAGATTTTGTCATGAGGGTTTTAAAATGAATTTTTTCAACATCTGTTTGAATTTAAAACAAAAGAAAACAAATATTTTAAAATAATTGTTGACTTTAGGCACGCTGTCGTTTTATCATTTTTCAAAGATATGGGGTGAGAACTAAACAAAACCAAACGTTTCTTAAAAACAGTGCAAGTTAATACTTTTATTTTGATGTCTATCAAATTTGCTATGTGTCTTAAAGTCAATCATACATCATCAAATATTTTTGTTGAAATTTGGTCGAACAGTTATAAAAATTTTTGTTGGATAAGGAATTTTTGATGCCCATTATAAAAATTTTTATCAGGAAAGGTCCACCTGCTTATTTAACTATAAAAAGGTATTGGTTGCTGTAAATGTCACATAAATCAGTGAATATCTTTGGGATTTTTAACATAGTTTACAGCAGATTTAATGAAGCTTTTATTTTCACGGGAATATAAGATTCTTTTTCATTTTTGCAGTGTCTAGGGAGAGCCCTTGGACACAGCTTTTATCGATAAAACTATGTGATGAAAAGTGGTCACATAAACTGTTATAAATTCATTAAAGATTCAATAATTAGAAAAACAAGTTTAATGTCATATGATATCTGTATTCTTCATAAGTTCAGATATTACCAAACAGTATGTCATAATAACAAAAACTCTATTCAATTATACAATGTACATACATACACTAGATACTTGTACCCTACCCATAATATTATTATGCATGTGTATTTGGAAATTTTATTCATATATTATCAAATCATTATTACGGTATCACATTTTACATGCAACATGCTCCAGAAGCAGTTATAACAAGCCAAAATTATAATTCAATTAATGTTTCTTATAGCTGTTAATATATAACGTGGTAAGTTGTTGAAGTTAGCTGGAAAGTGCTGCAGACAATAGCAGATACATGTACATAAGGAAAAATAGCACTCGCTTTAGAAAAAAAAAAGTCATTGAACTAGCTCACAGTACTAAAGGTGGTTGGTGTACGATCACAAGGAATTACAGCAACAACCTGTCACTTAATATGTAATGAATGGAAAAAGGCAGTAAATGTGCATGCATGCTTGCTTGAAAAATATATTCAATTTGATGAACTTATGCAACTATCATGATGATACTAAAATGAATTTTTTGGCACACATTTAGATAACAAAAACAAAACAAAAATATTAACAAAGGTGATAGGCACTGTATATTACAAAGAAGGAGAACTAAACAAAACCAAACAAAAATACATGCAAGTTAATCACTTTTATTTTGAGGTTCAACCAGTGAGTATTAATATTGTAATGAAGCAACTTTTCAATTGAACTGATGTGGTCACAGTTATAAAATGACATTGATAAGGAATTTAAAGGTCATAACGTTGTACAGGAAAGGTAACTTATTTAACTAAAGAAAGATTGGCAAAGGTATAAATGTGAACATCTATTGTACCATAGTTTAGATCAGATTTTATAGACATACTACGGGAATATAAGATACTGTTTATTTTTGTCCTCTAGGGAGAGACCGTGGACACAGATCATTTATCTGAACTGACGGAGGAGGAATATGAGGTGGGGTACGTTAGACCTCACCAGAAGGGGTTTATGAAGATTGACACTAAGTACCTGATACCCTTCTTCACAAGGAGATTTACCAAACAGGTTAGGGGTTGTATTAAACAAAATACATTAGGTAATTGTGCTAATTTGACAGGTTGAAAGTTTGAGATTTCATTTTTTTTAAAGACAGTTTTAGAATTAATCTATATTCAGTTTGATTAACTAGCATTTATTACTTAATTTTTAAGAGATATTAATATCTTGAAACACAGCATTTGGACATCCATTCAGTTGAATTGTCAGTTAATGTTTTCAAACTGTCACTTTTTTTCCTTGTTTAAATTATGCAAATACTTAAATGTAAATCATGTCCAAAAAATTCTTTTAAAAAAGTTTTGAATTGTCATGTACAATTATAATTGATGTTTTATTTACATGTAAATAATCCCATGAGAATTTAATACAGTACTTTTATATCAATAGTTTCACATGTACATATTTTATACCCTATATTTTTGGACACATTTTATCTCCCTTTTAGGAAGTAAAGGAGGGAAGGACCCAGATTAATCACCTGGCCACTCAGTGGTACCAAGACGTCCGAGCTGTCCCCTCAGAATCAGACTCAGAGGACGAGGCAGAAACCAGCCTTATCAACCCCACTCCGGAAGTCAACCATCACTGATCTCATACTGCGCAGTGTTACAGGAAATATCATTAGAAAATGGTGGTTTCATATTGTTAAGGAAGCTGGACTTTCATAGTTATGTGTTCACAGACTCTTTTGTCTTGGAAGTTGAAAACAGGAAATACCTTAACTTCATGTATGTGAATTTACCACTGTAAATTCTTTGAAAAAAACGGTTTGCTCAAACTTGTGCATGTAAATGTACTTGTTAGTAACATATACATTGTTATGATCTCTCATCTTTACCAAAGATCATCATGTAGAACATACTTATTTTCGATCTATATTACAAAGATACCATTTACGTTATTTAATATGCTCCTGTAAAGCTAATTTATTCATAATGAATACTTGAGTAATAATATTTGTGAAAAATAAGATTTTGTGGTGGATGTATAAATTCATTGGTCTCTTTATACATGTACCTTGAAAACAACAAAAATTACATCCCCCTTTTGCAAATATGTATTACTGATAGTCATTGTAGTTTCCAGTTACATATCTTTTAAACAATGATGCATGACTGAATGAGAAAAGGAATTAATTAATGTATTTCGGATTGTATGTAAAATTTTCTTTCACTTAATATGGACACATTCTTCAGTGATATTATATTTATAGGTGAAGATAATTGCATGTAAGATCTAAAAAAAAATTATGTAATTCTTAACAAGTATAACCAGACCTCTCTATATTGTCACTGTTTTCTAGACACAGTAAAACTCAGTTATAGTGAAGTCCTGGGGACCTCTGAATTTACTTTTACAATATCTGTGTTATGTTTATCAGTATAATGAATTCAATTAAAGTTTAATAGCAAATTCACAATATACACATGTACATCATGACCATTGAACATGTTTAGGGAGGTGATAAATACATTTATAAAACTTTCTTTGGGGTACTTTAGATTTTTGGTCAATTGAATTTTGAATGTAAATACTTACCAAAAAAATAATAAAGATTTTTTTTTGGGATTAAGGATTTTGAAAATTAAATTATGAAAGCTAGTGTAAAACTCTATAGGTTGGACACAAAATCACTTTGCTATATACATGTGTATTTTGAAATTCATTATATCAGAATTCTTTAAACCGTAGTATTTCCACCAGAATCTTAAGAATTTTTTGTGATGCGGATTGATCCAGAAGAATTTGCTATATCCATGAATTCATTATTATCTGTTTCTGTACTCAATGAGTTTTACTGTTGTGCTTGACGAGAAAATGCTTGTAAACTAGATTTTTTTTTAATTAAAAAGGGCAGTGTCTTTCAGATTAATCCATATTTTACTCAGACTGTGATTTATTTTCATTGCTTATGTTTGTATAAATGCTTCCTTAGTGGAAATATAGTTACATGTAGTACGTATGATTGTTTTGTTAAGAAGTGAAACTATCACCAAATCTAATTCATGCAGTCATGGTGCAAGAGAAAAGAAAAGAACTGCATGTTACATGTAACTGTGACACTTTCAAATGTGATGCAGGAATAATACATGTACATGTACATATTATGTTTTAATAATATGTAATTGTTGAAAAGATTGAGCATGAAAAATAATTAAGTAATGAATTCCATAACTCAAATGAATCATAGTATTGCAATTCTCTTACCTTGTTTAACTTTTGTTTGAGAACAGTTTAAGAACTGTTTAGTATTTCAATTTGCCTCTTTTTTTTCAACAATCAAATGACATTTTTGTTTTTTGTACCTTTAAAATTTTTAATATTTGTTATATGTAATATCCCTAACACATTAATTTCAAAAGTTATATTACATGTAGTTTTCCTTAGTATTATCAAAGTGATGGTCACAATTATCATTGGATTGTCATTTGATGTAATTTTATTACTCTAGTGCTTAGTTTGTGATATATAATTAATGGGAAATTTTTAGTTAATTTATTTTTGTCAGACTTGTTTGTTCATTTGTAAATCCTAGCCAACAAGATTATAAATTTTGATGTCTGTCTGAGAGGTATATAAAACTATTGTTTATGCACTTTGTAATTGATTATAAATATTAAAACTGGTAGCATCAAGATAAAGCTGTGTTGATTTGATCATCATATAGAGATGCAGGTTCTGACATCTGAAAAACTCAAAATTTTTACTGCAGAACTTCAAATAATAATTTATTATCTAACATGAAAGCATACATACTTTTAAAAATACTGCAGTCCTGTTGTTCATGCTATTTGTACTAGCTGACTTGTGTACATTTTTAAAAACTCCTAACAACCCCCCTCCACTTGAAAAGCAGAGGGGTACATGTATATAGTGATGTGGGTGTCCATCCATCTGCTATGATTTCTGGTTTCCTGGCTATGCATAGCAAAAACATGAACTTTGCAATAATAATCATGTAGGAGATACAAGCATCATTTTTTGAGCTCAGTGCTCATAGTACCTCTAGTTTACTACAGTTTTGGTTTCCTTCACAACAAATTGCAATACAAGGTCTAGTTCAGAGTAAATTGGGAAATCCATTTTCTCCTGCATCATTTAATCACTGTTAATAGGATGTCTGTGTCACATATTTACTATGAAATTTTATATTGCATCTCCTTTTGACTAAAGAAGATCCCTACTGATTTTGAGCTCAGAAAGTCATGGTCTGAATTGCAAATTTTCTTTGAACTATGAAATCATAAGTAACACAACACCCAATGGCCTCAAAAAGATCATTTATTGATTATGCAATGAAACTTGCTCCCAAGGCTTAAATTTAATAAAATAGTGGAATTCATTTTTTGCGTCATTAAACAGCTGGCAAATTAAGGCCCTTGTAGAGGGAATTTTTAAAACTTTATTTCCATTGGTCCACATGATCTAGAGAAAGTACTTAATAGTATTCCTACTATTTGTACATGGATCTTTCAGAAACATTGATTAATGACTTTGAAAAATATATGCTCTTACTGAAAAATGTGTATCTCTGAATAACGGAGAAAGTCATCAGATCAAAATTATACTTATTTCAACACATGCCACAACATTTTGACAGAAGACTTGATTCTAAGTTTGATGCATTTTGTATACATGTATTACGAGCAACCAAAAAACTTCTCCAATCTATCTGCAGACCATGTACATGCATTGAAACAAATTACTCTGTGACCCTCCTTCTTGGTCCTAATGTTGTGATAAATGACAAGAACAATAGATATTATTGTATCCTTATTTATTGATATCATCTTTGTTAATTTTGTCTTCCTTCCATCACATAACAACTGGCCAAATAAATATACCAGTACAAGTATATATACTCAAAATGAAATCTGAAATCTATTGAAATAGAACAAATTAAAATGTCATCATAATTGAGTATACATGTACTTTTTTAATCATACACTTAAAAATACAACTGTCGATGATAAAAAGGTCACTTTCATGCAGCCTAAAACATATACATGTATTTGCTTTGAGCATCTGAGGTCACATACTTTTTGAGTGTCAACTGAAGTTTCCTTAAATGTGATTATTGTTTGATCTGAGTTAACATAAATACATAATTTCCCTTTACATGGTGTATGCAAACTAAAATAGTAACATCAGCATGCATTCATTATTGTCATTGGTCATTGAGTTTATTTTAAAAATGTACTCTGTTACCTGTAATTAAAAAAGTTTGGCCATAAGTGTATAAACCTAAAAGTTTGTTTTTTCTTTCTGTGACTGATCAGAATTTTTAACTGTAAGAAGGTATAAAATAACTTTTAAAAAAAAAATAAATAAATAAAAATAAAAAGCATTTATTGACTGCCTGCATATCATTTCATTGTTTAGGTAAAAACTTTAAAAGTTTTTTTTTCATATTTGGTTGAAAAAACAAAACTTATCTATTGGGAAAAAACAAAACACTTTTCCCTCAACAATGGTTTGAGAGAGAATTTGAACAATATTACAATATAACTCTTGTTTTGGCTGAACACAAGCACCTAACAACTGTATTCAAATTGATAACAATTATTACATGAATGATCATAACAAAAAATACTTCAAACATTCACAGGTATTTTTAAAAAGAATATGATATATTGCTAACAGAAGAGACAAATTTTAATTTGAGTATGCTTGTTAATAACAAAGATACAGAATGTAGTAACACATATGTCCTCCCGGCTGTGCGTGTAGATATACATGTATGTATATTAGTATGGTTACAATGTAAAGAGAAACAGACGATGATAACATGATGGAATAAAAATAATCTGATTGTCCACATTTAACTTTCATGACAAAATGTATTTAAATATATATATAAAACGGCTGCATTTCATTTCCAGAATTTTTTGTAATTATCCACTTTTCATTTGCAACATTTTTTTAGTTTTCATTTCCGACATTTTTTTGTTTTCATTTGCAACATTTTTCAGATAGTATTTTTAGTTACAGATCTGAAGACTTTACCTATGAAAAGTTTTAAGGAATAAATCATGAATAAATCCTTGAAATCCAATTTCTGAGTTTTGTAAATTTATCTATGAAGCGATTGTGAAAATAGAAAATGCAGGCAGCTACCTAGATTAAAATTCGAGCGGTTAACTCAGTTTACCTGCACAGATGTGAAGCAGAA